GGTTGCGGCGCCGCTTTTGCTCCTCCCGGGGCCGCGTGGGCGGCGGGGACCCTGCGGGCGGTGGAGGGGGAGGAGCGCGGCCTGGGCTGAGGTGGGTTTTGCCTGTGCGGGGAGGGCAGCGGAGGCGAGACCGTCTGAGGACTTGACACCGCGGGGCGCACCGGGGGCGCGGGGCCGCGGCCGTCCGGGCGGGGCACTGACAGGAACCCACGCGGGTCGGGGTCGCCGTGGCGGGCCCTTGAAGGGAGCGGGCAGGGGTCCGGTGTCAGGCCGCGGCCCCTCGGCTCCCCTCACCGGCGGGCCGGCGGGAGTCGGCCGGTCCTCCCGGGGCTGTGAGGCGGCGGCGCCGGCCGGCCCGAGGCCCTTCCCGGGGGTCGAGGCGCCCGGTCCCTCCTGCTCCGGGGTGGATTTGCTTCATCTCCGGGTTACATGAGGGTTTGGGCGGTTGGCCGCGGCCTCCCCCCCCCAGGTCCTCCTTCCCTGCGCTCCCACTCTGCTGCCAGGCTGCTGTGTCAGGAGACAGTAGGTTCGGAAGTTGCCAGAAATGAAGACGCCGTTGCCAGCTGGGAGCGTTGGGGTGAGCAGGGCCCGCGACTGAGCCTCTGCGAGGTGGAGCGCTGCCTGCGTGGAAGATGGGGCTTGGCACCGTGACCTGCCACGGTCCGGGGCTGCCCCTGTGAGAATTACCACACAGCAGCGAGCATCTTGATCCCTGTGCCTGGCACAACAGGCCTAGCACTTGGCTACATAAACCTTGAGGTGTTAAAGAAAGGTTCATGATTAATGCATAATCTCTTAAATCCTGAAGATGTGCCTCAGTGACATCACCTCCAAAGAGAGGTCCTGGTGCAGAGGAGCCCTCTTTGCGTTCACTACCAGAAGATGACTGTGCAAAGCTGCTTGCAGATGAGCAAAGCAAGGAGAAAATTAAGCAAATAATTGGGTCAAAATTGTAATTACCATAAATGTTTGGAAGGTGCTTCAGCTTTTTTTGCAGCTTCCATTTTACTGTATGCCATGGGCCACCCTCAGCTAGAGGATTGCTGCTAGGGCTGGACTGAGAGACCCCCCTACAGAAGCAAGTCCAGGTGCCGGAGGAAATTACGGTAGTGATTCAGGAGATGGCACTTTTCCCACTTTACTGGTTCATTATCTATGCTTTAAGGCACTGGCGTGGCAGGAGTGCCTGGCCTTTCCTGCACTGCATAATTATATGTGAAGAATATTTCAAGTTTCAGTGTTGGCAGTGGGGGGGTCCATTATTACTGACAAATATAGGTATTGGTAAAATGCTGGACCGTTTCTTGCAGGCCTGGCTAAAAGTCTGCATGTGTCAGATGACATGCAGATTTGCAGTTTTTCTTCTTACAGTTATATTAAAAGTCTTTGGTAACAAAAATTAAAAAAAGATAGCTCTGGTACCCAAATGCCCTTCTGAGCTCAAACTTAGAGGTAGGATTCAGTTGCTTCATCACTGATTTTTACAGTTCTTTAACCACAATGTTTTTCTTCATTGGTTCTAAATTGATGATGGTATAGGCAGCTAAGGAGCGCTTTCATTGGTCCTAGTGTTGGTCACATTGCAGGAGAAATGAGAAGATTTATACTTTTTGCCCTCCTGCAAGGTGTTCTAATGTTCAATGATTCATACCAATAACTTGCATTATATTTTGATTTGCACCTTAAAGGAAAGTCGTTTTTAAAAGAAAACAATTTTGCCAGAAGGAAATTTGAAACTGTTGACCGTGTTTGCTATCTCCTAGTGTTTAATTCCATTCTATAACTCTTGTGGTGTCATATATATATGATGAATATAGAAATGTACACCACCATATATATACTGTAAATGTAGAATTGCATTTGCATGCCTTCAGTGAAAGCTTCATTCTGATTCAGAAGATTCCTTCGAGTTGCATGAGTATTATAAATTGTGCTGGGACACACTGCTTCCTATTTATAGACCTGTCATTCTGATACTCCAGTAAAAGGAACTGTAGTCATTCTTTATCCTTAAATGAATAAGAAAAAAATGTAATCTCTGTAATACAACATTTTCCTTGAGTACTGACAGCTGGATTCACAAAGAGATTTCGTGTATCGTTGCGTAAGCAGTGTTAGATGAGGGACCAGAGGCCAGGTCCTTCAGGCTAAGTTTCTCTTTCTCTCCTTAGCCCAGGGAATCTTAATTTGTCTTCTGGAAAGTGGAATAACTTTTTCAGGAGAGAGAGAGCAAGCTAGCACATACTTGGCACTCAGGCTGTGAAGAGGGGAAGGGTGGTTCCCAGTCCTCTCAGGGGGGGTGAGGAAGGAGGGTATGGACCCAAGTCTTCTACCTTCTGGGTGTTATCACATGTTCTCACACATCTTGAGCATCCTCCCGTCATCGGCTCTGTTCTGAATGAAAATTGCAGTTGTTTCATTTCATGCAGAGCTATCAGACTGGCTTTACATGAGCCTGCTGTGTCAGGCCACCCAGGGTACATGAGCGGAGAAAGCAATATTGGAACTGACAAATCTCTTTTCTTTAAAACAACATATTCGTGCATGTATTTTTGTGAAGAACTGAGTGCCTGATTGCAGAAACGGCTCTGATGTCAATCAGATATCACATACTGACGGTTGTGCAGTAACAGCTCCAGCCTGTGGTTAAGATCCTGGCTTTTTGCCATGAAGGTTTTTGCCTTTCTACAAAATTGTTTTAAATATGAATCTGAAATATTATTAAGTGGTAAGTTTTGAAATACAGAGGCATGGTGGGAAGAGCCAGGGGTATGCTGCTGCATAAAGAAATGGAAAATTCCAGTTCAGTACTGGGAGGGGCACTTTTTTGGTAGTGGAGAACCTGTAAGTGAAAAATATGGAACCATACTTCTAGGTGGAATGGCAGAAACGGTGTAAATAAACCAGAGGTGTTGCCTGAATGGAAATTTGTCTGTGTAGTGATGTTAATAACACTCACATTCAGAATGCCGATCCAGCCTCTCTGAAAGGTTTCTTGGATAGCTGCATGTATATTAACGTGATGTTTTGAGAAGCCTGTTGAAATATACTGAGCTGGTTAAATTGTGTGGTGGCTTGTGTATTTAAAAAAACCCGCCACCATCTTGGATGTAACATGGATGCTGGCTTCTTTCTTTTACAACCTCTCTATTGCCAGCTGATCCTGGATGCTGCCTCTTTCTATTCCTCCATAAGAGGTCCAGCAAAGAAGCAAGCTGGCATTGAGGAGTAGAAGACAGTGAGGGAGGGTTCCTGAACATAGATCTTTTTTGTTTGCCTGATCATCTTTGTTGTTAAAACTTTCCTTGGTCAGTTGGGGAGAGATCTTATTTTTTTATGCCTATTTTGACCAGTACTGGCTTATTAACAGTGTCTTAAAGGATCTGGACTAATTAACATTGTTGCAATGGCATCCCAAATAATTTGTAAGTCCTTTTGTTTGATTTCAGCAGGGAAAAACTATTGTTGCTTTAGCTGAGGGATCATTTTTTATTCAAAGGTCTGAACCAGGCATGACACTGACTCCAGCACTGTATTGAACATGATGACACTTTGTTCTAGAGCACCCAGTCCACAGTTAATATCAGACTCTTACTTTCTTTGGAGTTGGTGTAGTTACAAAGTAAAATATGTTGTTCTGATGATTTTAAAGGACTCCAAGAAAGGTGAAGGAGCTCTCATATTTTGGAGCTCTCATTTAGCAATACAATCTGAAGAGTGGTAGGTCAGGAGACAAGGCTGCAACATATCAGGTGGATGAAATCAAAGTCAGCACATTCACATATAGGAATACTGACTGGCCCCAAGCACAGTGTTTACACAGGCTTTTTTCTTCTCTGAGTTTGTTAGCTGGGAGCTTACTCCATTATCTGCTTTCAAGGAATTTTTCTGAGAAGGGAAGCCAGTGAACCATGTGGCCCTGTCACTGACAGTGACGACTGCAGTCACAATTTCAAAGATCGCACATGCTGACTGACCAGCCAGTGCACTGTAGATATGCTGGCTGGAAAACCAGCTGCTACCTGTGTGTTATAGTTATGCAGCATGTAAAAGATACACTTTATGCAAGTACAAAAGGCTTGTCTTTCCCTCCGCAGAGCACTGATTTAGTGTTCTCTTTCTTACATAACTGCTGGCTTTCAGAAAAGTTACAAGAACTTACCTATTTTTGAGACATTTGCTTGTCTCTTAAATTTGGTGGCAGTCAGTCAAGATTGTGGAGTACTGAGGACCTGATCATGCAAACACATACATTCCTTTGAAAAACAGACTAAACAGATTGTCACTGAAAGGAACGAAGTTAACTTGGAACAAATACTCTAGGCTACATGTGGTATGCAGCGCAGATGTAATGACTCATGACATTTCTGATTTCTGTTTTCTTTCAGGTTGTGCCAAGGAATAAGCCAAGAAAAAGCTTTTTGTATCCTAGCATGGCAAATGAAGAAGATGATCCAATTATACAAGAGGTAAAAGTGCATTGTGGCAGCAGTGATTGTACATAAGGCTTTTATTATTATTATTATTGTAGTTCCCAGTGTTCTTACATTGCTGAAATAATGTGTCTGTCATCAGCATCAGTGGTCACCTTACAATCAATGACTTGCTCTATGCAAGGAAACATGTTCTGTGGGCCAAGTATATGTCTCATGGTATCTATTTTGCTAAAATAGTGGTGCCCATGTTGGCAGATTCAGCTCAGGTTTTTCACCCTTTGTAATCTTCCATGTCAGAAGAGGAACAGAGGTGGGAAACTTGCTTCTACCACTGTGTGTTTCCAGTGATTCTATTGCACGTCTCTGAGAGCTGTAAAAAACTGGAATGACTTTGATGAGTTCAAATATCTGTTAAGTATGAAGCTAAAATGTTTCATGCTTTCTGCTAAAACAAGCAGTTGTGTTCTGATTCTGGGCTTCTTTAAAGGACTGCTACGTCCCAAAGAGCAGCCACAGTGTCCTGTTCACTTTATGTCTGAATTTACACACCAGAAGTACAAGGAAGGGCAAGTTCATAAGAAGGAGAAAAGCCATGAGAAAAGGAGTGGGAATTGTTAGGAGTCTATCTAAAGGTATTTAAACCAGCAGCTTCTGTATCTGATATTCATGAAACATCTGTGGATTTTCAGTGCTGTTGGCAAAATGCTAATATTGAGTAGGATTTGGGATGTGTCAGTGTCTCTTGTCTAATTTAGAAAGATTTTATTTCAAAATACTAGTAATGAAGTTACCTTTCAGTCATACTGCCAAAGAAAGAACTTCCTCCTCTTTCTATAATTGCGATAACAGATTCACTTCAGCCCCTTGGAAAAAAATTTTCCTCTTGCATTTTGTGTTTGTTTGCCAAGTTTCCTTAGAAGAAACACAGCTAGAGCCACTGTCTGCTGCCTAGGCATAGTTGGGGTTTTTTGTTTGTTTTTTAAAAAGGCCAACTGCAGAATTTCATGTCAAAATCAGCAGAGAGGAGACCTTTGACAAGAGAATTTGTAATGAAAAGCTAAAATTGTCAGTATTTGAGCTCTAGGGATTGTACTTTTATCTGAAGCTCCTTCAATTACAGCTGGCGTCTGATGAAAGTTGTTTGTTTTGCTTTTTAGATTGATGTGTTCCTGGCCAGAAGTCTACTGGAGAAGCTGTATCTGTTTCAGGTATTTCAGTTAACTTTTATGCAGTGATAGTTTGTTTAAAATAAATTCAAAGAGCAGTAACTTTCCTTACTGCTTCAGCCTGCCAAGATCTTGGATATAGGCAAGCCTGTTTGGGTCTGAGTCAGTTGAAATATTTAGTATTAAATCATTGCCAAGAGAGGAGTGGTCATTTATGACACAGACTTGTCATTAAATCACTCCCTTTAACCACCCTAAGGGAATGCTTTTAGTAGATTATGTCTTTTTATCATGGTTTGAATAAATTGGCACTCTCTTAGCCATTTTCTGTCATCACTGATTTCTGCCATCTTTACTAAACAAACATTTCATTAGGACTGGCCCTATTTAAAATGTCATCAGTATTCATAATTTAGTGCAAGTCATCAGAAGAACCCCCTGGTGTTGTGGAGATAAAACTAACTAGCGATTGAAGGTGGAAATACCTTAGGAAGGTAGAGGTCTATTTTCCATTCTGCCACTGAATTTCTCTAATCATTTTATCCCTGTGATTCACTTTTCCCATCTGCAAAATGGGAAGTCTTGAGGCTGTCAGATGAAATGTTCATTATAAACCAGTGATGCCCACTGCCTCTTGTACAGATCCTCTGCATGGCACATGCCAGCAGAGCACGGCTGGAGACAGGCTATGCAGCCTTGCCTCTGGGATACCCACAGTTGCTCCATGTCAGGAGTGAGCATTGGTTAGTGCTGGGGCCTGTGGGTGTTCTGGAGAAATGGCAGCTCAGAGCAGGATACTGCTATGGCTGGAAGATTTCATTTGGATACCACACTGTCCTCTCAGCATTCCCAAATGGTTCAGAAGAGAGACCCATGTGGCTAAACCTGGGTCTGGTGTCCTGACTAGCTACGTGTGGCCCATGTCCTGTAAGCTAACGCTACTTGTGTAAACCAACAAATACTTTACTTTTAGGTAATAACTCTCCAGAGAGTTAATGCTGAGGGATGGGTTTTTAATTGCTTCTAACACTTCCTTTTTCTGCTGGACTAATGTGTGGTACCATTTTCCTGCATTACAGTTTATTGTGGCGTGTAGGGGGCAGGAAGGGCTTTGTGTAGTGACAAAGGCAGAGGACTGGGGGGAAAACAACAGGCTTTCTAGGTCATACTCCCAAATCCCCTGATGACTCACAAATCAGCCAAGTAATTTCTTTTCTTGATGTCTTGTATCCATCTGGCAAATGGATCTACATGTGAGGGGACAGGGAAGATTGAGTTAATTTCTGTGAAGTTCTTTGATCTTTAAATGAAGAGGGTTTTATGAAATGGGTTTGTTTTCCAGTATCCTATTCGTCCAGCTTCCATGACGTATGATGATGTTACACATTTATCAGCGAAGATAAAACCAAAGCAGCAGAAGGTTGGTCATCATTTGAGTCCCGTCTGTAAAAGTTGTTTTACGTTGTGCAGAATGTACTTAAGAAAAGCACATTGTGCTATTAAGCTGTTATAACTACGCAACTACTTGCAGGACCAGATCTCTGTGCTTGGAGGTATGGGGGAGTCTTTCATTGTGTCTGTAAAGTAGAGTTTAGAGTAAGAGTAGTTTATAAAGAGAGGAATTCAAGTCATGATGGAAAAGCCACTCTTTTAATGTAAAACAGAGTCACTCGGGGAAACATAGTTACTAATGCTCATTCAGTCTGTAGGTGCTTGTGCTAATACAGCTTGATTTAAAAGGTGTTTACAATGTTCAGAAAAGGGTTGAGCTTTGGAGGCATGCTCTGTCTTTCAGTGTCAGTGCAGGTCTTGATTTCTGTCTCGTCTGGCTGTGAATCAGCAGCAGCCCTTTTGAAATCAGTGGGGTTGTATAGGTAGTGAAAATACAGGCAAAGCTAGAATGATTGCACTTGCTTGCAAATGTATCCCAAAACCGTGGCTATTATTTTAAAATGCCTGTCCTGATTTTGGCTGGGATAGAGTTGATTGTTTTCCTAGTAGCTGGTACAGTGCTATGTTTTGAGTTCAGTATGAGAAGAATGCTGATAACACTGATGTTTTCAGTTGTTGCTCAGTAGTGTTTAGTCTAAAGTCAAGGATTTTTCAGCTTCTCATGCCCAGCCAGCAAGAAGGCTGGAGAGGCACAAGAAGTTGGCACAGGACACAGCCAGGGCAGCTGACCCAAAGTGGCCAAAGGGGTATTCCATACCATGTGATGTCACATGTAGTATATAAACTGGGGGTGGGGGGCGGGGGATTGCCGCTCGGGGATTAACTGGGCATCAATTGGCGGGTGGTGAGCAATTGAACTGCGCATCATTTGTATATTCCAATCCTTTTATTATTACTGCTGTCATTTTATTAGTGTTATCATTATCATTATTAGTTTCTTCTTTTCTGTTCTATTAAACCATTCTTATCTCAACCCACGAGTTTTATTTTTTTTCCCGATTTTTTTCCCCCATCTCACTTTGCGGGGGGAGCGAGTGAGCAGCTGTGTGGTGCTTAGTTGCTGGCTGGGGTTAAACCACGACGATGCCTTATCTAAAAATGCAGAAATAGATGTCTGTGATACTAGGATTTTGTTCTGGGAAGTGTTTAAGGAGAGTGCTTGTGTGAACCTTGGAGTTAGGATGCATGTTGTGTTCAGGAAGTCTTCTATTAAAATTAGCAAACATTTGCATTGTAAGCCCTGTGCAGACTTGTAAATCTGCTGTCTCATCCAGGGACTTGTAACTAGTTCAGTTTATGAGTGATGTAAAGGAGAAGAAAAAATGAGGCAGTAGCTGTGATGCACAAATTTATATCAAATAAATATATGTATATATGTGGCTCACCCTGAGGAAGAATATATACTGTATTATTATAGTATATAAAGAGAAATGCTATGCAGGAAAATGTTTATTTTTGAACACTTGTCTGAAGTTTAAAGTTTGAGAGGGGGAATAGTTCTTGTAACTAAAAGCTTGGAGCTTGTTTCTGTGCTTCGACCACTGTAAATCAGGAATAACTATGAAGTCAGTGGTAAGTGCTGCAGTCTCAAACTTAGCAGAATCGAGGCCTTTGCCTCTGAAGAGGACATAGTTTGTACTGCTTTGTACCCAAACTGGAAGGAAACATACCTTAAGTTTGAGAGATTCTGAGTGGACCCTCAGTGATGGGGAGGCTTGAAGGATATTGCTTGTGCACTTGATCTGTACTGGTAAGTAAACTAGACTGATAATGTAGTGGAAGGTATCCAACAAAGTGAAGGTGTTTTTCAAGGCTGCCTAAAGAACTCTTGTTTCTCTGCTCTCATTTATTTACATGGGAATTTATGTATCTCTAGCTTATTGTTAAAATGTCACCATCCTACAAAAACCCATGTATATGCTCAGCTTTATGCATGAGAATTGCCCTATGAATTTGAATGATGCTGCTTATGTATTTAATTTGCTGTAAACCTATGGAAATGTTAGCAAATGTGGTATTGAATCTTAATTTATATGTTTGGGGTTCTGCCCTGGTAATTAGCTGTCTTTCCTTTCATATTATTTAGGTTGAACTTGAAATGGCCATTGATACTTTGAATCCTAACTACTGTCGCAGCAAGGGAGAACAGATTGCTCTCAATGTAGATGGCACGTGTACAGATGAAACAAGTACCTATTCCTCGTAGGTGTCCTCTTTGCCTTCATTTCCTTTTTGTGGTGAGCATAGATATATGTATGTCCACCAGGGCTTCAGGGAAAGGTGAGAACAAGTGGCTGTACAGTCTCAGGGGTGCTTTGGACACTGTTATATAGCAAGTATTCTTGGAAGTAAGCTACGTTCTTTGGTGTGCTCCATGAATTCTGAATTGCAAACAGAAAGATGGGTATGTATATTTGCTGCAGTTCTTGTTATTCTGTTTTTAGAATTGATTTCAGACCTTTAACGTCTCTATGCCACATTGCCTGTAGAATACCATCTCACAGCATTCATCTGTCTGCAGGAAGCTGATGGACAAACAAACTTTCTGCTCATCGCAGGCTGCGAGTAATGTTTCCCGCTATGCAGCTGCTGTTTATAAAAAAGGTAAGTTTCTTCTGCTTAATGCTCCCATCAGTGAAACATGCTCATTTCAGGGTTAAAATACGACCTGTTTGTTCTTTTTTTCTCAGCCTAGGTTTTAATTGACTGATGTGTCTTTAAAGCAAGGAAAATTTTTCCTTGTCAATGTCCCTGGAGTCCTTGAGAAGGTCTAGCAAAATTGTAGATATTATATAAGAACACTGTGGGTTTGTAGATGGCTCCAGGATATTAACAGTGCATGGTGGCCTGAAATAATATACATTTGCAGCATAAATTTATCATCGTTATTTATATTACTATCTACATCTAATTGTGTCTGTCTCATTTTCCAGTTCAGCACTTTTTGCCCCTCTCTTGTCTCCTAATGCCATCACAGAGTTTTGATCTGATCATCATTTGAGATGAAAATATGTAGATTGTCTTTAGTGATGACTATCAGGAGTCTCCTGAACTATAGGTCAGGTCTGAGATAGAATGTAGCTCTCTACAAGATCTGGTTTCAGCACAAAAACAAAAGTAATATAAATAGGTCTTCGTCTTTCATACTCCTTTGAAATCATGAGCACTGGATTAATTTTTTCACTTCAATCCCTTTCTACATTTTACTGTATTAAATATTTATGTTTAATTGAAGCTGTGCCTTTACAGAGATAGGGAGATAATGAAAAGTGCTGTCCTTGTGCAGTGGAAAAAAAAAAAAATTTAAATCAATGTTACTTCTTTTTTTTCAGGTGAACTTCACCTGACTCCACTACATGGAATTCTTCAGCTGAGGCCAAGCTTCACCTACTTGGACAAGGCTGATGCAAAACACCGAGAAAGAGAAGCTGCTAATGAAGGTAAATGCTCCATGAGTTGTGTTATCTTTTGGGAGGTGAGATAGAAGTTATCTCTATAATTTTACTGATAAGAGTCATTATATTCTGAAAGTGTTTATTGTTATTTATTATTATTATATTATATATACTGATTATAAGTTTTCAGATTATTACGCTGAGCTTATTTTCAGTGTAGCTGCATAAATGGTTTTGTGGGCACAGCATGGGGGATTGGCAGAGGGATAGGAGATGGTGGGTTGTGTCACAGGGCAGCAGTAGGGAGTGTGTCACCACTGCCACTGAAAAGTTGCACACTACAAAGCTCATGGGAGCAGGATCTCCTATCATAGGAGCAGTGTGGTGCTGTCATACATTGCATAGCTTGGCAAGCTGGGATTGAACCCATGGTTATGTAGTTCCTAGTACCACTTTCTCCCTGCATGGGTCCCCAAACGGTAACAGATTGGCTTTGGCTCTTCTATTGCAGTGGTGTGTTTATTCTGTTGTATTTTTGGCAGGTGGTGATTCATCCCAGGATGAAGCTGAAGATGATGTTAAGCAAATTACTGTATGTTTAAATTTCCTTTTTATGATAGTTCAGGCAACAGTTCACAAGAAAGCATGACAATTCACACCCAAATAAAAGGACAGGAAACCTCAGCTAGTCCTGGTGACCCTGGGCCTGCAGGGGGGG